GAACTTCTGCAAAACAAGTGCTTTAAGTGGTGCAAGCGTATGTTGTCACTCAAAAATTCAGATGAACCTAGAAAATAGTGAGTTTAATTCCTAAACAATCTGGAAGCAAGCACAACGCAGTGCAAATACAGAAAACAGGAAATGAGTACGGTTTACCGCAGGAAACAGCAGTCCCAAGAACGAGACACGATTTTAGGTTTAAGCTGAACTAAAGCCTAGAGTGTTTTCTAGGGAAACTAATCTTAAAAGGAGCAACGTCAAAGCTTTTGAAGTATGATAAGAAATTAATAATGTACTGAGATATGTTTATGTTGAGCGTGTCTTTAAAACTGCCGTGTCATTTAGAGCAATGGTTTCCCCTCATGGTTTGAAATAGGAAATTGTGCTTAGTAAAATTTAAGAGGAAATCATGAAAAAGTGTGAACCTGTGGCCTGACCTCTGTACCAAAGATTAATATGCATATGATGTGCAGCATGTGTCACTGTTGGTGAGGACAAAAGACTGAGACTTCAAGTCATCAGAAAGCAAATCAAACAATGAAACCGTATTTCGTAGAAAAATAGTACTCTTTATTATAAATTAATGAAACGTCCATACAAATATAAATAAGTGCAAAGTTTTATCAGTCTGCTTGCTTTGTCAACCTTCTCAAATATGTTCAAGCATCAACAGCCAGTGGTTTGGCTAGCAAGAGTACATCTTTATAAAAGACAGCACACAAACAGATTAACCATGTCATTTTCAATCATGTAAACTTTGGTTTAAGACAGATACCCACTACATCTTTGGTATATGTGTCCTCACCGCTGAAGCCGTACAAACTTCTGACTCAGCAGTGGTACTCATTTAAGAGCCTATAGTCATGTTGGTCATCTAACAAACTGTTACCTTGTTCAGGCAAGTTTGGCATACGCCCTTCCTCTAAAGAAAACATTAGTGACACATCATCTATTCACATTTTCTATTCTTAAAGCATCTTATAAGATTCTAGAAAAAAAAATAAAGGTTCAGCCCTTTCTCACTGTGGCTGGCACCCTGACAGCCAGCAGAGTCCACTCACTTGTGCTCTAATTTTCCATTGTCTGTGAATTTCCAGCGTTCACTTGGTCACAGGATGCTGGATGGATATGTCTAGTAAGTTCAAGATTATCACCCAATGTCAGCAAAAAAGCAAGTCTGATTGTAAAAGCCAGTCCAGCTTTAATGGACGGGGAATTTTCTAAGCTAGACAGTCTCACAGTTCACTGGTTAGCAGCAGCAGCAGAGGGAACCTGTGCGTCATCAGACTGTAGACAGCTGACTGTGAGCCTCACTTCCGTTTTCAGTAAGCAGAACGTCATCAGCGAGGCAGAGGAGAACGGGGGAGATCTCTCTTTCATACCCCCCCAGATTACAGCAGTGATCCCTTTCGCTTGGCCTTCTTTGTGGATTAGTCCCCAATCCAGTGTCTCTTCCTTAAGACACTACTGCCGACCTCTCTCTGAGAACTGCACACATCTTGTCAGTTTAAAACTGCTCCTTTTCACAAGCTCAGTCCTGGGACTTCCTTGACACTGCTTCATCATTACTCCTCAGACACTGTACATGACTACAAATGTAGCTGTACTGAAACCATCCAAGTCTCTGCCCCTTCAAGAGCATCAGCCCAACACCTCTAGATAGGAGCATCATACTCCTGGAGGAACTCCTTAAGAGGATGAGGAAGTTGGTCTCTTTTAGAAGAAATGTCCAAATGTCCATTGACTGTTTTCCTGCACAGGTGCTGCAAGGTGGACAAGCTACAGCAGAGAGGTTTGATGAGCTCCAGGGGGATCTTCTCCCCTCCAGCGTAAATGTAGTACATATTTCCACTGCGAGTGTTCCCTTTGCTCTGAGGCATATAGTAATGGATCAGTTTGAGGACACAGTCAAAATGGGGAACAGACTGAATGTTCTTAGGGTCTGTTTGTAGGTAAAAAGAAGCCATGTCACATTGAATACGCAGATTCTTGGTGCCTGATGTTGTCTTGACACTGAGGGTAAACAGGTGTCGGTTGTCTGAACTGTCCCGGATGAGGAAGGTGCCGGAGGCCTCGGCTGCCAGCATGGTATTGGCCTCCTTTCCTGTGATGGGACCCCAGTAGAACCCACTCTCCTGGAGCTTGTGGAGCGTGTCGAGGACCATCTGGTACTGCGTCTTAGAGGTGAAAGTCTTGTAACGGTGAGGCAGCCTCATGCTGGAATCCAATAGGCTGCTGCTCATTGCGGAGTCAAACTTGCTGTGAGTTACCATGGCGCTGTGCCCAATCTCTAGGTAGCCTGGGCAGCAGTGGGCGCCACACAGACAGGAGAAGAAGAGGAGGTGTCAGACAGAGGTTCAGAGTGTTGTCTGGGAGGACATGAAGAAGTCAGCTCTTAATCTGCCTGGAAAAGACAAGGAGTTCAGTGAGTTAGAGCTCTGTGTGGAAAATATGACACTACCCTTTAACATTCTGTTTAGAAGTTTAACTACACACTTGCACAAAGATCTGCTTTATTCGTGTTGAGACTAATACTTTTGGGCTGCTGCAGCTCTGTTTTCCCAGATGTGAAAGATCTGTACATCACATGTTTAAACATCTGGTGATAAATGTGCTCCAGAGTTTTTTATTATCCAAAAACCAAACCCTACCCAGCTTGTATGCCTACGTCCTGTGCTGGAGAGGAGCTGTGGTTTTAACACAGTCATTAACTAAACTGTTCCCAGTTAAATTCTAGCCGTTTCGGGGAAACTCGCGCGTGTGTGTGCGCGCGCGCGTCTGTGTAATCTGCCCTGGAGAGTCAGGCATCACGGTCAGTTCCAGTAAAAACGGTGTAATCTGGATTGCGCAATTTGCAATCCGTTCCCGGCTTCACTAAGCAAACTATCTCACTTAGATAACCATCTACTTACTTTTAAACCCTGCACTGATGTTGGGCATTATGTAGAAAGATAAAGAAATAATTAAATAAACAAAAGATCCTCACCTTCGATGCTTCTCCAAACTCGCTCTTTGAAAATAAATCCAAGTGCTCGGTCGTTGGATAGATGGCTGTTCACTGTCAGGAGAGTAAAAATGTTTCCAAGTTCTCTGGCAACAAACTCCAGGCCTGGACCTGTCGGTGTGTAGAGTGAACCTCGGTAAGCTGAGAGTTATAAGCGGGAGGTGGGGAGAAGTCCTCGCATGTGTGAGGTGGCTCCGCCTCCTCTTTCCAGTAAAGCCTCTCTCTGTTGGCAGATTGACAGGAAGCATGTCATTTTTTTTGTTTGTTTTTAAGGGATTCCTGCTATGAGAAGTGCCCTCCTCCCACTGCTCCTTCAAAATGAACTTCAAGAGTTACAAGCAGTACCTTTGTTAAGTATCTAGCTCTTTAGAATTGTATAACCAAATAATATAACAGGTAATAAATAGAATTCTTGTCTTTTTTTAATCTTAAAAACCAGCTATAAGATTAGAAAATCATACTATTACATACATATACATACATACATATGATATAGTCTTTTGTTTATTTATTTATGGGTGGAAGTTCTGCTTCAATGTCAAGGTGAGCTAATGTTTTACTCTGAGCTGAGGCAGCTTGTGTAGTAGGTTTCTGAGAAATTCGCTGTAATGATGGCTCACACATGCCCATAGAGGGCGCCACACAGGGGGAACTTCTTTCTGTTTCCCAGTAGCAGCAGCTGGTATCCAAGGGCAACGGGTTAGTATTTACTCACTGCTGCTAAATTTGATATCTGTTTCCCCTGTAGTGTGCGTAAAAGCTTTGAATATTTAGTGCTGCCCTAATATCCATAGGTGTAAGAAATATTAAAATGTACACTTTCATAACATATTTAGGCCTGGTTTGTCAGTTAATTAGTCATATTTACCATGTCATGCACACACCACTGCACAGCACAGATAGACTCAAGATACTAAACCTACTGTCGCAATACTGAAACATTTGCCTTTCAAGAATTGTACCAAACCCTATGAGCATTTATGAGTAATATATACACATTTTATGATATACAATATAGCAGCCATAAACCTAGTTATTATATATTTTACTGTTGACTCTCAACTATACAGTGACAAAAATAGAATCTAATTGTACTCTGTCCTCACACTTTCCTTAAGACTTTATGACTTTCTTTATCATTACTTTATAATAATTTGAATATCAGCGTCAAGCTGTCGAAAGAAAGTGTGACTTCATGTGAAGTCAGTCTAATCTTTGGCAACCTGCGTGTGAGCGATCAAGTGCTCATTCTGTCCACATCAGCTCCCTCCCTGCTGATTCAGCTATGACAATCACAGGTTTCAGGCGGTTATTGTAAAGCAGATTAACTCCAGGATACGGAGCTCACTTATTTTAATTATCTGTACAAGGCGGTGTTTTAAAACGCTGTAGCTTCTCAGCACAGACTGGTTCAGTGCTTAAAAAGATACTCAGCATCTGTTTTGGTGTTAGTTTTACCAAAACCATGGTTGGGAACAGGGCAGAGGGAAGGCCTTGTGGGCAATGAATTGACGTCACAGAGGCTGGTGGGTTTGGTAGAAGCCAGCTGTGTCCACAGAAGTGAGTCAGGTGTTGTTAGATTCAGACCACCAGGACATGGGTGGGGGAAGGGAAATCACAAGGACAGCTTTGGAACAGTCCACTTGTTTCCAGAAAATATATGGTGTCATCACCATGAGGCATGTATTCAGCATCCAGTCTCCTCCTAGGATCCTAATGGAGGTCAATATAAGGAAAAGGAGCAGTAAGTTGGCCATAAGTAGGGAAACAGTATGATTTAGCTCACCACATTTCCATGGAAACCACTATGCACATTATTACAGCATGCTGACTTGACATTTTAGCATGTATACTGTAATTTCCCAAGTCTATTACACTTTTAACAGGGTGGAATAAAAGGACTCTTAAGTGCAGTGAGGAAGAAGATGTTGACCCCAGACATGAAGCAAAAAAATTACTGCAAATGTTTAAAAAGTCAAGTCAAATCAAGTAAACAAACCAAAGGCAGAGTGTACTTAACCAAAGGTCAGTTGTTAAATGTCTGGTCAGTTCAGTCAGTGGAGACAAACCAAGTGACCTGGAGCTGAGAACCGTTCTGCTCTGCTGCCACAGCCAAACCTCTGAGGCAGAGTGTGAGGCTTGGCAGTGACATGTTCGGTGCTGTAGGCAACGCATGTGTGTGCACCTCTGTGTGTTTGATTTCCGGCAGGTTTGCAGAAAACACCCTTGTGCACATATGTTTTTCTAAATGAACATCCAGGCTCGAGTGAATGCATTTGCCCACTCTATGAATGACACAAAAACAAATGAGTTTCAATTCACATGCAAATTTGATAAATTCATCCCCAGTTTAGCAGATTAGGAAAGGCTGCATGATAATTTGTTGGTCCAGACCTTTGTTTAGTGAAAAGGGCAGCTGTTTAGGTTTTCCCACAGTGACTCAGAAATGTATTCTAGCTCATGGTTCCCGTAAACCCAGCGGGTAAGAGGGGGAACAAAGCAGACTTCACGACTGGAGAGAGGGGTGAAAAGCAGAAAAATGTTATTCAACAAAATATTATGGAGCGCCTCGGTCTAGCAGAATTTCACTGTACACAGAGATCTTTTAAAAGCTTTGCATGTTTTGCCAGTTTTATGAAATTATTTGCAAAGATGGCAGTTACAAATGTCACTTATTGTTTGATCAAGTGAACACAGTGAGGCCTGAATTTAGAATAAGCCAACAACACTAGCAAATAAATAATCCTACATGAACAAAGGGGTTGTAAGCGGAAACAATGGTACTGTGAGATGTGAACTATTAGAGTGGAACTGTTACTGACAATCTACAATATACAGGCAGGTTCCTGGCATATCAGTCAGCCTAGTTCCTGTTAGCTCTGTATTATTATCATGTACAGTAGCTGCACTTCCAGTTTCTACCTGCCTGCCTCCCTTGTTTTAAAGTCATTATTAGTCTACCGAGTAGCTTCACAGATGTAATACTGTAAAGCTTCCTTGTTCAACAAGACCATTTGTGTGTGATTACAATCAGCTCTCTCTCTGTGCCTTTCACTGTGTTGCCGTCAGTGTCGCCCTTTATGTGTTTCTGTGAATTATGGGAAGTGCCACGTGTGACCACCACAGCTGAGAATGAACAACATGCCACAGATCCCCAAGTGAGAACAGTGATTTTCACTTTTCAAAAAATATTCACAATATGTCTTTTTTTGTTGCTGGTTTCGAAATATGTGTTTTTATTTTATGTCGACTAGAAACATTTTAGAGTAACTTCTCGTAAATGAGGTGATAAAAGGAATTCTCTTAAGAGTGTTTTGTTCATGAGTGTCCGAGATGCATGTCTTCACACTGATTGCGCAACAACCACAGACCATTACCGTAAATTTACAAGGAAGAAAGCCTAGTTTTTATTTGTTTCTCATTTGCCTTCTTATTAAGAAGACACACGTTCTGTCAAGTGTGAAAGGTTTGCTGGTTGAGAATTTTAAAAACTAAAAGTAAAACAAGATAACATGGTAGAAACAGAAATAGATCACTGGCACAAACATTCACACAGAATGAGAATTTACAGTTAAATTAAACAAGTATAACCAGTAGAGAAAGTAACATCCTGCTCATTATATGTAGCCTTAAGAAGAAATGATTTCATGCACAGTACAAATTGTTCTCTCAACTGTATTTCTGTATGCAAATCCGCCTCCACCCTTCTGGACAACACATGAGTGCTTCTTATTTAAATTAGCAGGTTACTAAGTGGATGACTGGCATTCCATGATCTGAAAAGGTGTAAGCATTGGCAGTGATATCTGGTGTAACATGCTGGGGTCATAAAGCGCTTACTATTCCTTCTTGCATATCATGTGGGCTCTATTTATGGCCGTGAGTATCATCACTGTCACAACTGCTTCTGGGAAGAGCTAAAAGCAGAACACAGAGCCATTAACTTGTACCTTCACACCCAGACAATTATATTTAACAGTCTCAGCTATTCAACTTAAGTATGTGACCTGTCTACCTTAGTTCAAACAGGCAGCTTCTTGTTTGTTTGTTTTCTGTTTATTTGTTTATTTATTCCAATAAGTTCATAGATTATCAACATCATAAAATGTGTCTATCTCAGAACAGTTGTTTATCAAAGGCATTTCACATTGTTAAGATGGGTTTTTTAATAAAATATTTCATTCCTTATTTTATGACATACTTTGTTTTGTTATTTCATGTTTGCTTTGACAGAAAATAACCAGCAAACCTTTCAGCTTTAGGCAGTGCTCCAATATTTACATTACACCCCTCTGTGGCCCACTGACAGAGCCAGTGCCAATTCTGCTCTTCTCAAGGTGAAGAGGAGAAGGAGGGAAACAGTTTTTAGATGTCACAACAGGAGCCCTGGTGTCATTGACAGATGGCTTCGTGGGTTGGGCACATTTCTAAAGTCTGTATAGTTATTTATTTTGTGCTTTTCTTTTCCTGGCACAAGTCAATTAATATAAGAAATGTCTTGTGCTGTTGTGATAAATTGCAACCAGAAGAGTATGTAGGTCAGTTACTAATATTTTAGCTATGTGACAGTGAGCTGGGAGCGTTGGCAAGGGCTGCGATTAAGACTGACATCAGATGACTGACTTCCAAGAGATGTGCAGTGGAATTTCAAAACCATCGCTTTCCAAATCACATATATATGACATAGTGTGGACATGTAGGGCTAAGTTGTGAAAAAGGACACAGGAAATGCACACTGTGATTCCATCACTTTCACTGCATAGTGCTGAGGAAGAAGTTAAAGAAAGAAATGAATGTCATAAGCATCATCAGGTCCTGGGTTCAAGTGTGTGCCACAATGTGGTTGCTAAACACAAGACATCTCAACATTTATTGGAAAGCTGAAGTTCAAATGTTTGAGGTTATAGTGTGTAAGATGATAGGCAGGGAACCACATCTCATTCTTCAGTTTTATGGGATTACAGACATGAGACACAACCTAAAAAGATTAAGTAGTGCAAAACGTTAAAGGAATAGTACAACATCCAAACTTTTTTTTTTACTTTCTTGCCCAGAGTTAGATAAAAAGATTGATACACTTGACATGTCTGCATAGTAAATGTGAAGCTAGTGCCAACAGTCAGTTAGCTTAAGTAGCATTTGCTTTATCTGTACAAAAACAAAAGTGTCACAACAAC